ATTATAGTGAAAGGATACAAAGCACAATCAGCAAAGGAAAAAGGCATGTGGGGGAAGGTTTGGGGAAAAATTAGAAGCTTATAAGCATCTTCTCTCAGTGGAGTCAAACAGAACATGCTTAATACCTCTAGCAACTTTGACAACAGGTGTGAAATGTTGTCTATTAGGAAGATTCTTTAGAGACTCAAGGCCTAGGGTTGAGTGGTAGTTATGGACACACCCTCTGCCTGTCCATGCGTGCGTGCTTAGTTGCTATAGTCGTGTCTGATTCTGCAGCCCTATGGACTGTTGCCCGCCAGGCTCCTCTTTCCATGGGCAGGAATACTGGAGTGGGTTGCCATGATCTCCGTCAGGGGATCTTCCCTACCCAGGGATTAAACCTGCATTTCTTATGCCTCCTGCATTGGCAGGTGGGTTCTTTACTACTAGTGCCACCTGGGAAGCCCACCCTCTGCCTCAGTTCAGTTCAGTTCAGTCGCTCAGTCATGTCTCACTCTTTGCGACCCCATGAATCGCAGCACGCCAGGCCTCCCTGTCCATCACTAACTCCCAGAGTTTACTCAAACTCATGTCCATTGAGTTGGTGATGCCATCCAGCTATCTCATCCTCTGTCGTCCCCTTCTCCTCCTGCCCCCAATCCCTCCCAGCATCAGGGTCTTTTCCAAGGAGTCAACTCTTCACATGAGGTGGCCAAAGTACTGGAGTTTCAGCTTTAGCATCAGTCCTTCCAGTGAACACCCAGGACTGATCTCCTTTAGGATGGACTGGTTGGACCTTCGTGCAGTCCAAGGGACTCTCAAGAGTCTTCTCCAACACCACAGTTCAAAAGCATCAATTCTTCAGTGCTCAACTTTCTTCACAGTCCAACTCTCACATCCATACATGACTGCTGGAAAAGCCATAGCCTTGACTAGATGGACCTTTGTTGGCAAAGTAATGTCTCTGCTTTTTAATATGCTATCTAGGTTGGTCATAACTTTCCTTCCAAGGAGTAAGCGTCTTTTAATTTCATGGCTGCAATCACCATCTGCAGTGATTTTGAAGCCCCCAAGAATAAAGTCTGCCACTGTTTCCACTGTCTCCCCATCTATTTCCCATGAAGTTATGTGACCAGATGCCATGATCTTAGTTTTCTGAATGTTGAGCTTTAAGCCAACTTTTTCACTCTCCTCTTTCACTTTCATCAAGAGGCTCTTCAGTTCTTCTTCACTTTCTGCCATAAGGGTGGTGTCATCTGCATATCTGAGGTTATTGATATTTCTCCCGGCAATCTTGATTCCAGCTTGTGCTTCTTCCAGCCCAGCGTTTCTCATTATGTACTCTGCCTCAGTTCAGTCACTCAGTCGTGTCTGACTCTTTGCGACCCCATGAATCGCAGCATGCCAGGCCTCCCTGTCCATCACAAACTCCTGGAGTTTACTCAGACTCATGCCCATCGAGTCGGTGATGCCATCCAGCCATCTCATCCTCTGCCTAGCCTGTGCCAAAATTCCAGACTTGTAGAAGTAAACTAGGTGTTCAGCATAAACCATATTGCTTGTATATAATATAAACATTTAGGCACAGTGAGTCACTCTTACTATTTCTGGGATTGATGGGAACCCTCTGGGAATTCAAGCTGCCAGTCAAGGTCCCACTTTTGCAAGCAGGCATTTCTAAGCTCTGCAGTCTGAGGCCTGCTGTGTTAACTCTTTTCTGTGCACTGTTCTTACTTAATGTGATCCTATAAGGTGGGGAAGAGGTCTTAGGGGCTACTTTGGAAATGAGGGATATGGGTGTGAGAATGAGGGAGACATGGAGAGGCTGGGACTTTGTTACCCCTTTCTTCTTTTCTCTTAAGTAAATTTAGGATCCGATGAAAGGTTTTGTGTATAAAAAAGGTGCTGCTGTTAAACTTACATTTGAAAATCACTCCTTTAAACAATGAGATGAATTTTAAGCCAAATATTGATAAAATCACATTTGGATTTTAACAGGATCATTTCTGTTGTTGATGGAAGATGTTTTTTTTAAGAGATTGTGGTCAAGATAAATTTGAGGCTGGAGATGATCAGAGGCCCGGAGACCAAGCCAGAGATAATTAAGAGCTTTGGCTGGAGTGGTTATATGAAGAAGGAGGAGGGAATGGATTAGAGAGACTTTAGGATATAAAATTGGGTAAAGAGGTTCTCTGATGGCTCAGAGTAGAGTCTGCCTGCAGTGTGAGAGACTTGGGTTTGATCTCTGGGTTGGGAAGATACCCTGGAGAAAGAAATGGCAATCCACTCTAGTATTCTTGCCTGGAAAAATCCCATGGATGGAGGAGCCTGGTGGGCTACAGTCCATGGAGTTGCAAAGAGTCAGACACAACTGAGTGACTAACACACACAGAAAATTGGGTAGCATTGATGTTGATTGGCTGAGGACCTGGTTGCGGTCTGGGGAAAGGGTTTGGGGATAGAGAAGGAGATTAGCATTATCTTAGGTTATTTTACTTAGTTGATTCCAGGGAGTGGAAAAGAGCATTTTCCCTGGTTGTGAGAGTCTCAAACACTCCAACACTACTGGGTATCCACCAATTCCAATTCCGACACTATCTTCCTGAAGGTAGTAGCATCAGCTCCCACATGTTAAAGGGCCAATTCCATACAAATGGCGCCACTTCAGAGGGCAGCTGCAGCTGTGCTGCCCTGCTTCCCACCCTTCTGCGTGGCTGAATTCAAATTCAGGGGGTTGATAATTAGCTAAGTTAGATAATTTTCTAGTAATAGTCATGGAACTCAGAAACAAACACTTTAAATGTTTATCAGTTTGTTATAAAGGGTCTGTTCAACTCAGGAACAGGCAAATAGAAGGGATGCACAGAGCAAGGGATGGGGCTTCCATGCCCTCTCCGGGTACGTCACCTTCCCTTGATGTGTTCACCATCCTGGATGTTCTCCAAATTTTATTGTTCAAGAGTGTTTATAGAGTTTAATCTCCAGCCTCCCTTGCCCTCATAGGTTGGTGGATAGGACTGAAAGTTCCAACTTTCTAAACACTTGGTCTTTCTGGGAACCAGCCCTGTCCTGAGACTATTTTCAGGACCTTCCCTGAGTTCATTACCATATGTGTGATGGGAAGAGGCTCATTATGAATAACAAAAGATGCTCTATCACTTAGGAAATTCCAAGGATTTTATGAGCTCTGTGTCAGGGACTGTGGACCAACTGCAAGTGTGTTTCTTATACCACCCTGGTAAACATCTCAAATTGCTGGAAACCTCTGCGGAACTCTCAACCTGTGCCTTCAGCTCCAGCATGAACCCAAATCTTGTCCTTGGTCCTATGAGGCCTAGGATCCCGGGAGACCCTTAGTTTGGTTCTCTATTGCAGGCTGTAAGCCCCATGTATTAGTTAGGGTACAATTTAGGCCTCTGTAACAAAGAGACCCCAAAATACACTGCCTGAAAAGCAAGATAGACGTTTATTTTACATAAAAATCCAGGCAGGTGGTCCAGAGCTGTGTTGGCAGCCCCGCACTGTTGGGGAACTTTGCTCTGCTGTGCTCAGCATTCTGTGTGCCTCTCCTTGCCAGGTTGGCCCTTCCAGCTGCAGCCATGGCACTTTCTTTCTAGACAGAGCGGGGAGGGCAAGAGAGGAGGGTAATTTGCCCTTTCCCTTTAAGTGCTCCGGAGCAGAGCACACGCATTTCAGCTTACATCCCATTGGTCACGTGGCCATCCTAGCTGCCAGAGAGACGGGGGTATGGAATATTTTACTGGGCTGACTTGTACCCAGCTAAAACCCCTATTTAGAAAGGGAGAACAGTTATTAGGGGATAGTCCTGCCCTATCCTCAACAGTCACAGTTTATTAAGGATTTTTTTTCCTTTCTTAGAAAAAGATGAAAATAATGTTGTGACTTATTTCTTTTCCTAAATTAAGTAATTTTCATATTATTGAAACAAAGGGAACATGGTATTCAATGAAACAAGAGAAACTCTGGCAAAATACCCTTGCAAAATCTTTATCTAAAAATGTGCCAGCTTGAACCTGCCCCAAATAAGGAATGGAGTTATAACTGGACCTTACCACAGATAATCAGTTTTCTTCCTCAAGAAGCTAAAAAAGGATGAACACACCTCCCTGCTTTGAAACACTCTTCCTGTCTCTCAGCTCTTTGTGTTCAACCTAAAGGTAATGGAAAAGGAGAAGGAATCTTGTAAGCAGAGAACTGAATTCAACATGGTAACGTCTGAATGCTGTGTTGTTTTGGATAGGGAATAACGAGGCAATAGAAAACCCTTTGTGACTAGTCTCTAAGTCTCTGCCTTGGTATTAAAGAACCAGATTTAGGCCTAATGCAAAGAAAGGCACCACCTCTGCTGTGGGGAAGGATGTGATGAACCTTGGTGGCATTCAATGGAGTAGAGGTAAAGCTGGCACTCTAGAGGTGGTTAGGCTTCCTAGAGGGCTTCCCTGGTGATTCAGACAGTAAAGAATCCACCTGCAATGCAGGAGACCTGGGTTCGATCCCTGGGTTGGGAAGGTCTCCTGAAGGAGGGTATGGCAACCCACTCCAGTATTCTTGCCTGGAAAATCCCATGGACAGAGGAGCCTACAGTCCCTGGGGTCACAAAGGCTTCCTGGAAGAGGGGTTATAGTGATAGGTTATGAGTTTGGGGTTTATTAAATTGAGTCAATCATTTATATATTTATTGTCCAAAATGTGTATTTAAAAAAAAAATATTTATTTATTTGGCTGCTCTGAGTCTTAGTTGTAGCATGTGAGATCTAGTTCCCTAACGAGGGATCCAACCAGGCCCCCTGCTTTGGGAACACAGAGGCTTAATCACTGGACCACTGGAAAAGTCCCCAAAATGTGTTTTATGTTATGGTTTTCATCAAAATGATTTTTACAACAGCTGCTCAAATATGTACAGTTGTAATTGGTTAAAAGTTTTAAGAAACAGTATTGAGCACTACAAATACCTTCATTTCAGAAAGTCTTAAATCTTATATATATATATTTGTTTATAGCCTATTCACTTCAGCCCCCTGAGAGTATGTCTCCAACTGCTGCTACAGAGGCTTATTCAAAATCTTTAGCTGTTTGCCATGGACCACTGGACCACTATGACTTTCTGATCAAAGCTCGTGAGCTAAAGGATGATGAGCATCAAAGAAGAGTCATACAATGTCTGCAGAAACTGCATGAGGACCTTAAAGGATACAGGATAGAGGAAGGCCTTTTTTCTAAGGTAAGATTTGTGTCATGTTAAAGATGGAACAGTTAAAAGTCTGAGCATTTTAAAAATGGATTAAATGCAATTGGGTGCAATCATGAAAGAGCTTGAAAATTTTCTACCAGTTCCTTTAACAAGCTCTATTGGATCCCCATTTCTGACCTCTTGATCTTCTATAGCTTTCTTTTACCTTCAAGGGGATTCAAATACGGAAGTAGTAAAAAGAATACCTAAAAAATACCAGTTACAGTGAAAACGTGTATGCAATTCAAAGCTTCCCCCTCATTCTAGCTCAGGCCTGACCTGGGATCAGTAGTAGAGAAGAGGGAGTGACTTGTTCTTTTTTCTCTCCCTTTCTCTCTCTGCTAGCTTGGCTTCCCTAGGGTCAGAATGAGGGGGATAGAAGATTAGAGTGAAACAGCAGAGTCTTGAGTGGCCAGTTAAGGGGCCGTTTGTGGTAGATGCTGACACGCTAGCTCTCTGTGAGGAGCATTGTGTGCGTTCTTCAGGACTCCCATGAGGACCTCCCCACTGCTTCACTGTGACCGACCTGCTGTGACTCTAAGGAACAAACATCTCACAGCACAGCCTTGTGGTGTGGGGATGGCCTTGCCCTTGCACTTAGCCTTCTTCAGTGGGGTCCTTTCAGGACAGCTCTAGCCAGGTCACATTTGTGGTGTCTCCTGAGACCACCCAAGTAACACAGCTCCTTTCTCCAAACCCTACTGCATGGGCAGCTTCGGTCAGTCTCCTGCCCTTGGACTTCTGCAGATATAAGAAGCAAACACCAGTGTCTGTTCTGTATACCCCTGTACTCCTGGGGACACATACATGTCCGGTTCTTCTGTAAACTCTTAAACACCCTACTTGGGTAGCTGTCTGCAGATTTTCTCCGTGTAAGTGAGCATCCACCTGGGGAAAGGATGCCTATTTTGCCTTAATTCTAATCTGTTTGGATGTTTCTCTTGGGGACCCCTTGCATTTGATGTGAGGTTGGTTCACCCAGGGGAAATGCCACAGGATTCTTTACCCAGCTGACAATTTTCTACCTTGATTACTTTGGTTTTGGGGCTGTGTTTTTATCCCGCCCCCCCCCCCCCCGCCTCTTTTTAAGGAATTCCTGCATATATACAACTAGTGCCTCTCTTTAGTGTGTAGGGGGACCTGTTCCTCTTGTCCTCAACTTTGAGTTTTTGCTGAAATTCTGAAACAACAGGGAAAGCTCCCATTCCTTGTCCTGCTGTAGAAGCTCTGTTATCAGTGGTGTCATCCTTGAATTATGAGGGATGTTAATAGTAGTAAGAGTTAGAATATGGTTCAAGCTAAGAAACTAGTTTTCCTTTAATCGACTGACCAAACTACTTACCTCCCTTAACACAAATATCCTTTTGTTATAAGGTCTTTATAAGAAAGGTACTGTATAACAATATAACAATAACAATATAACTATAACAATAGTACTTTATTTATAAGTTCTACTGAAAGTAATTTTACTTTTTAAAAAGCACTTGAGAATGTAACAAAATAGTTTTCTTTTTATGTAAGGAAAAACACTGCATTGTATTAACATGTTTTGGTTAAAAACAATAAAGTATTATTTAGGCTTGAGAAAGAAATGGAGATGTAGAATGAGATTATAAAAGAAAATAGCAAGAAAGGGCATCTCCATCACTCAGCCAGGCCTCCCAGAGCCTGCACCAGCTTTTGGCACCATTCTCAGGTGGCACCGTGGTAAAGAATCCACCTGCCAATGCAGGAGATGCAAGAGGTATGGGTTCAGTCCCTGGGTTGGGAAGATTCCCTGGAGGAGGAAATGGCAACCCACTCCAATTTTCTTTCCTGGAGAATTCCTCAGGTGGAGGAGCCTGGCAGGCTACAGTCCATGGGGTCGCAGAGTCAGACACAACGGAGCAGCCGAGCACAGTGACTCTGAAAGCCCTGATGACGGGCAGGCAGCAGGCCCTGCTGGTTCTCCAATGCCCTGCCATTCATAGTGATCTGTTTGCTCTTTGCTTCTTCTCCCCATTCTCTTTCCCACTCTGTTCACCCTACCAGCTGCTCATTTCTTTTCCTGTATCTGTGGTTTAAGTTCCCGAGGAGGAATCTGAGAGGCCACCCAGACACTTCCTGTTTGGGCAGACGTTTCACACCAGTTTTCCAGGGGCTGCTAGTCAACAGTAAGATCGGCTCTCTATAAGGTGCCATCCGGTGCTCCCGAGAGCAGGGCAGTTTCCCTCAGAAGTGGACTGTGCGGCTGGACGCCAGGGTGTGGTGGCTAGTCCAGCACTGTGGTCATGGGAAATAACGATGAATTATCCCTTTTGATGGCCAACGTTTTCTCTTTCTCTTGTGTTCCCAAAAGTTTATGGGTGAATCAAGAAGTAAGAAGTTTGGAAACCATAGATTGCTTAAGTATTGCCTACTTAATTATAGTTTGTATTACAGGAGGTCTTCCAAATAAAATAACAACTCTGTTATGTTTCCTAGCCAGGAGACAGGATGTTTTACATAGCAGATTTTTGTTGTTATCTGAAAGTTAAAATTTCTCTCATGACTTTTGTATCTTATCCCACCTCTGATGTATGAATTGGCTGTGCTGAACTGTGTCTAAATAGCTGTTTAGCAGTAAGTAAATGCAATACTTTACTATCTAGAGGCCCTTGTTTTATTGTGTAATTCTTATGTAAGGAGGACATTTGACAAGTCAGGTAGTTTCTAATATGTCTAGTGAAAGCTTATATTTGTTAATCCCAATGCATATGTGAATGAATATTTAGTAGATTGATAAACATCTTTTTGTGGTAGTATTTGTCCTGTCATTTTTTAAACCAACAAAATATTTAGCATTGCAAAAGACCCAGATAACAAATTTAGCCTGAATAAAACATGTAAAACTTCAGTTTTGAAGATTATAAAGATGCCACAGGACTATTTCTTCTAAAAATACTGACATGCCAATTATCAGAGAAGGAAAAGTTAAACTGTTAGATTTTCCAGCAATAGAACTTTGCTAGTAGTGTAGAATCCCTTTTCTTAAAAAAAAATAATTTTATTTATGTCTGTGCTGGATCTTTGTTGCTGTGTGGGCTATTCTCTAGTTACTGTGAGATGGGGCTCCTCTCTAGTTGCGGTGTGTAGGCTTCTCATTGTGGTGACTTCTCGTTGCAGGGCAAAGGCTCTAGGGCATGTGGGCTCCAGTGGTTATGGCCCGTGGGTTCAGGGCTCAGTAGTTGCAATTCCTGGGCTCTAGGACACAGGCTAAAGCGTCATGGTGTATGGTCGTAGTTTCTCTGCAGCATGTGGGATCTTTCTGGACGGGGATCAAACCCATGTCTCCTGCATTGGCAATCTGATTCTTTACCACTGATCCACCAGGGAAGCCCAGTATGTAGAATTTTTGATTTTCATAAATAGGGTTTATAATTTCATGGACATTTGATTCTTCCCCCAGCTTTATTGAGATATTATTGACAGATAACATACCTAAGTTCAAATTGTGCAGTGTGATGATTCATACTTGAATACATTGCTAAATGATTCCATAATAAAATTAGTTAACTCCTATATCCCCTGACATCAGAGAAGGCAATGGCACCCCACTCCAGTACTGTTGCCTGGAAAATCCCATGGACGGAGAAGCCTGGTAGGCTGCAGTCCGTGGGGTTGCTAAGAGTCAGACACGACTGAGCGACTTCACTTTCACTTTTCACTTTCATGCACTGGGGAAGGAAATGGCAACCCGCTCCAGTGTTCTTGCCTGGAGAATCCGAGGGATGGAGGAGCCTGGTAGGCTGCCGTCTATGGGGTCCCACAGAGTTGGACAAGACTGAAGCGACTTAGCAGCAGCAGCAGCATATCCCCTGACATAATTACTATTTTTCTTTGTGGTGAAAACATTTAAGATCTACTCTTCTGACAACTTTCAAATATTAATATACTACTGTATTATTAATTATAGTTACCATGCTGTACATTAGATCTTATAGTTGGGAGGTTGTATTCTTTGACCAATATTTCACCATTTCCCCTGCCCCACAGCTCTTGATAACCACCTTCCAATGAGTTAGGCTCAGTGAGAACATACAGGACTGTCTTTGTCTGACTTAATTTCAGTTAGCATATATGCAGATTTGATTTTGTTTTTGATACAGATGTTTAAATATTCACTTTGGTGGACTTAAAAAAAATTGTACTCCTAAGAAACGTTCTGTAAGGGTAAGCCATAATGTTAGAATAAAATGCACATTCTTCGCAAAATGCTGGGGTTATTTATTAGTGAGGAGAATTGGTGGCAGACTATTAGGCTGCTTTCACCTAACTATGTAACAATGTTTTCTCTAGTAAAAATTTGAAAAAGTTATGAGCAGATGACCATGCTATATGAGCAACAAACTAGGAAGAATGAGCATTTATGAACACTTTACTTTTGTTATCAAATAAAACTTACAACCAGGTTAATCTGACACATTTAATGTATGCATAATTGTTATTGTGCTGTGAGGTAATTAGGCATAAATGGTAAGTAGTTCATGTAAATCACTATAATTAGTATTACTTTTACACAGCCAAATCAAGCATTTCTAGAGTCATGGAGGGAAAGAATTAAACAGAGTGTGGAGCTGCTCTGAAAATTTGTTTCCATTAATCAGGGGTATATAGGCAACCAGGTTTTTTCATCTCTGGGGAGGAGACACCATTGCCAAAGAGACCTGGGAACTGGGAAGGGGAGCAGGGGTCAAAATTCCTTTTCCTTTTCTCTTGCTCTCCACAAAATAATTTTGTTTTTCCCTAATGAGAAATGATTATTTCAGACTTTCTTTTGCAACCTTTTATGTCTTTTATTTGGATATCTCTCCTTACTCTCCTAAGAACAATGCATGTAGCAGGTAGAAATGACCTGCGCTGCCTTGAATTCAGCTGGTGTAAGGTCTTGGTAGCTTTCTGTGGTCTGGCTCCTAGCACCTGGCAGCTGTGAGCTAGATACTTGGAGTGCTGTGCTGTGGACTTTTCTCTCA